TTCGCCATCGAGTATTTTGATAAGTTGTGCTTCTACTCGTCGCCTCAGCTACAGAATCCAGATGAGAATCATTCTCTTATAGTAGCCGCCGATTTTCATATGCAGTTCCTTGGATACATGTCCCCAAACAATGTTTGTGCCCCTGTCTCTCGCTTGCTATATTTCTCTAGTATGAAAATCTCAGAGGATATAGATAATGTGCCGGTGATATGTAACCCTAGCACGGGACAGTACGTAATATTACCTCAACTGAGAAGGAAGAACTATTCGAGAAGCCTTTTAGGTTATGATCCAATTGGCAAACAGTACAAGATACTGGCCATAACTAAATCACGTTATGGAGAGGAATATATTCTGACATTAGGAACGGGAAAAATGTCATGGAGGGAAATCAAACGTCCAGTAAACCATTATCCTAATAGTCAAGGGATATGCATCAATGGGATTTTGTATTACATAGCTGTTGGCTACAAAAACGTTGAGAAATTAGTTTGCTTTGATGTTAGGTCTGAAAGGTTTAGGTTTCTTGAGGCAGATTCTACTACTAGAATCATATCGACTACTACTAGTTCTTCGTCTACTAAACTGATTAATTACAAGGGTAAATTTTGCTTGATTTGTTTGGCCTGGCTGATTTCCTTCTCATATGAGGCACCGTACCAACGTCGAATTATCCTGTTGGATTTGTGGATTCTTGAGGATGTCCAGAAACAGGAATGGTTGCAACGTGAATACCGTTTGCCGATGAATGTAGACTTTGCAGATGATATTTCTGTCGCTGGAGTGACTGCTTCTGGTGAAATTATTCTGTCCCCGAAATATACATCTAACCCTTTCTTTGTTTTCTACTTCAATCCCGAAAGAAACACTCTGGAAAAAGTTGGAATCCAAGGTTTTGAAGCGCCTGAAAGTCAGAGTAGAGTTTACACATTTGTAGACTATGCAGAAGATTACAAGTTTACATAACATAGTCTAGCTAGTTCGCCTATCTACAGGTTTTGTTGTGAGTCCATCATTTTGTTGGCTTATCATTTTTCTTTTTATCCTCGATCGATGTTACTTTAAAGCAAAACAAAGTTTTATCCCACATCAATTGCATTTTTATTAAACTTTCTTTCGTAATGATGTTATAGTTTAGAAGTTTTTTTTTAAGATCTTCATAGCAATATTCCTGTTTCTTTGTTTTTAAGAAATTACTATATGTTTGGGAAATTCTAGTTAGTGGACTTCTCCATCACCGTTTCACATCCACTTTTTGATGAGCTCATCTCTCTCATCTCGGGCTCAACGCTTGAAGCTTTGGAGCTTTAGTTCTTAGCTATTAACTACCGCAAACTATCACGTTGAAACTAGTTGGCTAAGCCAGTAAGCCTGCTTAAGTATAAAATCCTAGCGAGCTTATAATTCGTATGGGATTAGAGGAAAGGTCTTTCAAAGCGTAGACTAAAGATGCAAATACCTTGTCAAGTGACTGACTTTAATACTAGTTTCAAGATTCTTTGCAGGGTTATGGCTAAGTTATATTGTGTCCACTGCGTTATAATTGTAAGTGAATCCAAAGCAAAGCAAGTGGATTCTTGCTCATAAGAGATTAACAAGATAGAAAATGAGCTAGCTCCTTATTTTGTGAAAAAAAAGGAAAACTATTTGAAAAACCAAGCTATATAGAAATGTTTTTTTTTAAATTGTTTTCATAAAAAGAGAAGAATGAGAGTTGTCAAAGTGGTATTACATTGGATTTGTGTCAAGGATGCTTTAGGGAAACCATTTTCTCATAATCTTGATTGGATAATTAAATTGTTTTTGGAAAATCAAATACCAAAAACCATAATCTAGATTGTGGATTTTGTTTTTAAAAATGTAAAATCTCTTAAAACCTTAATTTTCTTAATCGAGTTTTAACATTTCCTTATCCCGTGGTTTTTTGCATTATATCTATTCGAACTTGGACTTCTATTTTAATTTTCAAGTAACTTTGGCGAGAGATTACCCTTAAAACCCTAACTTAGAGCCTACGGCAAAGTCTGGAACCAAAACACACGAGCTTTCAAACACGATGGAAAGAGAAGACAACTCAGATCCCATCCCGATTGACATCATTCTCGATATACTCTCGAGATTGTCTACTAAGTCAATCGCTAGGTTTGGTCTCGCATCCAAGTTCTCTGCGTCCTTACTTAGTGGTCAAGATTTCACCGAGTTTTTCCTAACTAGGCCCTCGAGTCGCCCACGTCTCTTATTCGCCATTGAAAATTTCGGTGAGTGGCGCTTTTACTCGTCTCCTCAGCTTCAGAATCCAGATGAGAACCATTCTCTTGAAGTATCAGCTGATTTTCATATGCAGTTACCTAGAGACGTGGGACAAGAGATTTTTGGCCCTGTCTCTGGTTTCCTATATTTCCCTAATATGTGGAGAGATAAAGTGCCGGTGATATGTAACCCTAGCACGGGACAACACAAGAGATTAACTCAAATAAGAAGTAAGAACAATTCAAGCAGCTTATTAGGGTATGATCCGATTGGTAAACAATACAAAGTACTGACTATAACCAATTCACGTTATGGATCAGAGGAACATGTTTTGACATTAGGAACTAGAAAAGTTTCATGGAGGAAGATATTGTGTCCTGTTATCCATTATCTGCCTATAAAAGAAGGGATATGCATCAATGGGGTTTTGTATTACATAGCTGTTGGCTACCAAAACAAGGTTGTGAAAATTGTTTGCTTTGATGTTAGGTACGAAAAGCTTAGGTTTCTTGACGAAGATGATACTATTAGAAGCATATCCCTTTGTTCTTCGCATATTAAAGTGATTAATTACAAGGGAAAATTTGGCGTGATTAGATGGAATCGGAACAGGTCTAGGGATTTGTGTTTGTGGATTCTAGAGGATGACCAGAAACAAGAATGGTTGAAACTTGAGTACACTTTGCCAGTGAATATAGTTGATGAGCACTATGCTTATGTCGCTGGAGTGACGGCTACTGGTGAAATTATTATGTCCATGAAGAAGACGTCCAAATCCTTCTTTGTTTACTACTTTAATCCCGAAAGGAACACTCTCAAGAAAGTTAGAATTCAAGGTTTGGAAGCGTCTGAGAATTGTAGTCGGGTTCACGCGTTTGTAGACTATGTAGAAGATGTCAAGTTTGTAACATAAAATCTAGCTAGTTTGCCTGTAAATGTGACTTCTTATCTACAAGTTTAGTTGTTAGCTCCATCATTTTGTTGGCTTCTCATTATTCTTTTCAGGTTTTCTTCTCGATGCTCTCTAATTCTATTGCAAGTTGAAAGCAAAATCATGTTATTTTATCCCACATAAACTGTATATTCTTCAAACATCCTTTGTACTGATGTTATAGTTTAAAGGTTCTTTTAAGACATGATCTATATCAATATTCTAGTTTCCTTGGTTTTCAAAAAACTTACTGAATAATCTTAATAGGTTATAAGATATATAACGTTAAAACAAAATAATCTGTTGAGGTTGAATCAGAAAATTGGAATTGGCATTACCTACACTCTTTTTGTTTATACATGATTGGTTAAAAGTATCAACACAGCTTAATTAATCCTAAAGAATAAAAATTTGACACGAATATAATTAACATCACCCTTGTGAATAGAAAAAAAACAAGAAGAGTTAGTCGTTAGTCAATCACTCAATCCAACATTTATCCAAAAGGAAAAAGAAAAAGATTACGCAATTATGAAGGTTTATCAGCCAGAAAGTAGTTATAATGCTATTATTTTACATGAACGACAATGACAATGGTGATGATAGCAAACAAAACTAGAAGGCTTGAGTTGCTGTTTGATACGACAGAGAAAACTTCTACTTTAAAGTAATATACATTTTACTAAGAAATATTCAAAGATTCCAGTTTACTAAAAGATATATACATTTTCAGTTTTTTTAATCCAGGTATATCCCGTGTTCAAAAAATCGCTAGGCGCTGCGGTGAGGGTGGGCCTAGCGCCTAGCAAGAAAATCGGAGATTAAACGGGGATTAATCAGGGATTAGTTTTAGGGCTATTTAATGTTTTAAAAACATATTAATCCATTATAATTAAAAAAATTAAATAATATTATTTTAAAATTTGTATTAAACACATGAAAACAAGATTTTAAGCTCAAATTTATGATTTTTATACAAATTACGAATATAAGTACGACGTTTTGATTTTTAGATTAAAAAAAAAAAAAAAAAAAAAAAAAAAAAAAAAAAAAATTGGGCTAGGCGCCGTCTAGGCGGCCGCGGCGGTCTAGGCGGACAAAAAATCGGACGAATGATTTTTCTTACCGGTTTAGACAAAATCGCCGCGGTTCCCCTCCGATGAGCGCCTAGGCGGCCGATTTTTAGAACAGGGGGTATATCCTATGATGTCATATTAAAAAGAAAATAAGATGAATTGTGCTTTCTTTTTAAATGTAATTTACCAAATTCCGTAAATTAAAATCTGAAAACTAGAATGTAGATGTATAGATCACTCAAATATGTATAGTAGACATTTTTTTAGTTTTTTTGAACAAATATGTATAGTAGACATATATACCTCTCTTTTTGTTCTATGATTGTTAGATATTAATTTGTTATCTCTATACAATAGTCTTGACTCTTGAACAACCATCTCGGGCACAATTTTGAAGCTGCACGTTTTGAGCGAGAAAGAATATTTGAAATGCAACAACTGTAAACGCACAAAATTGTATTTGTAAATGGACTAACGCATATATCGAGGTTGATGGCAATCTTCAACCTCTGATCTCCCGTGCTTATATGTTTGCCTTAAAAGCCAATAATTTGTGACAATGTTGAGGATAAAAACAAGGGAATAGAGAGCTTTTACAGCTCTAGTTTGCACGAATTTACAGTAGTGTTACTGTCGGAAAAGTGCAAAACACTGTTCTCTTTTTCTCTTCAATAATTTTAGTAGATAGTCCCCACATGTAAGAGTTAAAGTTGGAAACCTCAAACTTTTTGCGCTTATAACTTAACAAACAGCTTCACACTCACTTGCAAAACTGTGGAAGCAAAGAGAGAAAAATAAAAGATGGAGCCCAAAAGAGAAGAAGGGAAGTCTTACGTGAAGAGAGGTTTGTGGAAACCTGAAGAAGACATGATATTAAGAAGCTATGTTGAGACTCATGGAGAAGGAAACTGGGCAGACATTTCTCGTAGATCCGGTTCGATTTCCAAAGTTTTATATAGTGAGTTAATGTTTGTTTACTCGTAAACGAAAGTTGGGATTTTGGGAAATTAAGGAATGTTTTTCAGGGTTGAAGAGAGGAGGAAAAAGCTGTAGGTTGAGATGGAAGAACTATCTAAGACCAAATATCAAAAGAGGAAGCATGTCACCTCAAGAACAAGACCTCATTATCCGCATGCATAAGCTTCTTGGAAACCGGTCTTTCCTCTTTCACCATTGATCATCCCTCTCATAGCTTTCTCGATACTAACGTCTTATTCTTTTCTATCAGATGGTCGTTGATCGCCGGTCGCCTTCCAGGTCGCACTGACAACGAAGTCAAGAACTACTGGAATACTCATTTGAACAAGAAGTCTAATTCCCGGAAACAGAATGCACCTGAATCAATCGGCGCCACTCCTTTCACCGATAAGCCAGTTATGTCTACAGAACTGAGAAGAAGCCATGGAGAAGAAGGAGAAGGACAAGAGGAGAGCAATACCTGGATGGAGGAGACCAACCACTTTGGCTATGACGTCCACGTAGGATCTCCCTTGCCACTTATTTCCCACTACCCAGACAACACTCTTGTGTTTGACCCATGTTTTGCCTTTACCGATTTCTTTCCTCTGCTTTAGGACTTTCCTGGTTTTATCTCGAGGGATAAATTCTTGCATAGACTTTTCAAGTCATTATTGCTTTAGTTATACAATTTATATCGAGTTACGTAGCCTACGCAAGAATCGTATTCTTACCTTATGCAACTGCAGCACAATACTTATCCCTAGCTATTTTCGAACCAGAGTAATTATCAAGTGGAAAAAAAGAAAAAAAGCTTATGTCCATTGACTTAATCATTGTATGGGATTTCTAGTAAAATCAATCCAAATTTTGGTAACATGTCCTTAAGAAAAAGGAAAAAGTTGTATTACTTACAAAACATCATCTTCTTGAGGATATAGGGTACCATCATCAAGGGGTAAAGAAGGAGGGGTTCCTGGAGGAATACTAGCGGCACCATTTTCACCAGCACATATGCAAAGTGCTTCGGCATCTCTGACTGTTGAATCGAGGTCAATATGCCCAGACAGCTCATTGATGAACTTTAAGAGAGTGTCAAAATCCATCTGTTCTCCCATTATCTTGCTGCGGCATCGCTTCAAGACCGCCACACAAACATATAGGTGAAAATGTTCTGAGAGGTAGTGGGTCCACATCACCTCCCACAGCTGCATTGTCTTCTCGTACTCAAATTCCCTAAGACACATTGTCACCAGAATTAGATACAACACAGCAAAAAATTACAAGAAACAAAATTTCTTCTTGAAATTAAGAAAACAATATTGGGAATACTCGTCATTCAAAGTGCTATGGAACGTATTTCAGGTATATTAGACAATATATTTTCTTTAGATATCTCAGACATTGGAAAGGTTTCAAGCCGGGTATTGCAGAATGGGTAAACTGGTTAACTAATCACAGATGGAATCCGATTCCCGATTATAGACTCCGGATATCCCAATTTTTGGTAGGGTGGCAATAATTCTTGTTCAGCCCAAAATGAGGCTGTGGTACAAACATCAAAACAATAACGAGAAAGAGGCAAAAAAGAAGAAACAAACCTTTTAAACTGAATCAGGATCCAGCGGAAACAGAAGAAGTAATTTAAGCAGTCATTCTGTTTGAAGTAATTATGCAGCGGGGTATCGAGCAACTCTACCAGCTGTGGGACAGTGAAAATGTAAAAGAAAATGCTTCAGATTCAGATCCCAACATTGATGCCGAATGCTGATAGAAGGAAGAAATGCTAAATGTAAATTGTAGAAGTGTTCTCGGTAAAAAAATTATAGACCTTCGAGAGTGCAAAGAGCTGAGTATGCATCCCATTCTGGTCACGATTAAAGTTGGGTCCAAGGCATTCCATCAGTGCCACGAAACACCAAAAAGATTCTGATTCATCCTCCATCACGAACAAGATAGGAGACAGATAATCACTCATTCCCTAACAATAAGTAAAAAAAAACATTTTTCAGTTAAACACACACTGTAAAAATCCAAAGTAAAAGCCAGAAATAGAAGAGTGTCGAGCAGTTCAGCTTATACACTAAGTGGGGCAACCAACCCAAAATATGGTTTCATAACAGTAAGGACAACGCCAACTTGTAATTCAGTGCTAAGAATGAACTTTGAAAACTGATGAGTACCTGGCAGTAACCCAGGTCAAAATTGTAGAAGGAGTAGGTCAACAGAATATCACGCATGCTATTGACATGTAGATTGTCATCCCCTTCATAGTATTCAAATGCCCTATCAGTTCTTACCTACACAAGAAGAAACCAGGAATATAGCTTAACAGGAATTCAGTGAATAAGGCACACCACATTTATCACAATTCTCAAACTCTTCTTACCACATCTTTATCTATCAATCCTTTTCTCTCCCGATATTTTGTGAACCTTTTTGCTTGTTCAGGGGAAATGCTCTGTAAAAAAAAAAATACTAGTTAAAAGTGCATCTACATGAGGGAAATAAACTAGTCTAGGAACGCCTCAAAATTTTATGTAAATAGCTCATGCATCATTGAGCAAAAGAACTACATAGCCTATTAAGGAATCTAAATATGATGATGAATGAACCTGCCACTGCTGTTTCAATGTTGCATATTCCATCCGTTTGACCGATCGAAGATATTCTCTCTCTGCATACGTCGAGTCATATGCATAATATCCCAAGAGAAAGGGCCATACCTACAATGATGATCCCAAGTTTCAAAATCAATCTGCATATAATTACGCAGGCCCATTTTTAAATTAAAATTTTATATGAAATATAAAGTTAACCTCTCTTCGCAATTGGTGCTCAATGCCTCCATAGAAAACTCTCTCCCGAAGAGCTTTTGATTCCACAACTCGCCCTTCAGAATCCAACAATGCTGTGAACTAAGAGCCCAGCAAAAATTTGAATTTAAACAGAGATTAATAGAAAATAGATATGCGTACACTTAGCAAACAAAGAAGCAAAACATATTCTCTACCAGGTTGCACATTACTCTGTCGATATTTTACACTTAAGCTTGGTGATACATCATTTCTTCTCTAAAATTTAGTATAAGAAAAAACACAGCACCCAAGAAAGTTTCCTCTCTAAACTTCCCAGAGTTTAAAAAAATGCAGTATACGAAAGTGCTTACCTCTTTATGCCCCATTGGTGGTTGCCTTGGCTTTCCCCACACCAAACTTAATTTATTAAACTGCAAAAGAGGAAGAATTAAATGGCATAATCTTCAACAAATTCATAAGTTTCATACTCTACATGTACTTGTTGTAACAAGCTGCCAGCTAATCATCAGTTCTCAAGATTTGGTAGCATAGGAAGCATTCCATCCGTAAATGTTTATATTACTAATACAAGGTGAATCATTCATATATATTGCAGAAGTGATTATCAACTAAAGCTGATCGTTTCAATCAATGTTTAACATGCTTAGTCTTCAAATTGATTTCCCTTGAATACAAAAACAAAGAACTTTCAGAGCTGTGTTTCCAACAAACTTTAACAAAAGCAAGTAAAAGTGCCGTAACTCAATAGTCACTGGTATCTAAGGTCGTGTTCCAACGAACTGAAAGTACAAGCACAACTGAAATGCATGCATAAGTCCACCCATACAAGCACTCGAATTATGCCCGGTAGGATATGGTCATGGTAATTGTCAATAGGGTAACCAGCATGAATCAGAACAAGGAAAAAACTTATGGTGTATAGAATTTTGTCAATAGGTAAACTAAAAATTTGACCCTGTACATCTAAAATAAACGACAATCTATCCAAGAGACGAAAAAAACTAGATGTTGCAAACACAGGACAGTTCAGAATATACCAATATAGTTTCCACCAACATGCTAATGCTTATAACAAAAAAAATGATCATTACCTCTAAGGGATCCGCAGGGACATCAATGTCATTAGAAATTTCTTCATCCTTGAGAAGGTCATTTTCAGAATAACTATGACGGATTTCATTATGCTTTTCCTCAGCAATATTTGACAACTTTTCAGGATAACTATGTACTGGTTGGTTATTCCATCTCTTGTCAACGGAACCAAAGCCATTGTTCTCGGAAAACAACTGAGTAGTTGTATCTCGAGCAAATTTGGTAACCAGAGAAAACTTCTCTAGAAGATGGATTGAAAGATCCCGAGTTGGATCATGACTCTTCTGCTTTCTCAAGCCAGACTGGATAACACTAGACACTCTATTACCAATATCTGCACCTGTTCTCCCTTGATTTTCGTTAGAAGAACCTCCATCTAAGGGGTATACTGATTGTCCACTTGCTACAGGCAGTGAACTTGGCAGCTCCAATGAAGACAAAGTTCTCTGTCGGATATATTATGATAAAATGTATTAGCCAATAAGAGAATAAAAAACAATTATCACTGCACCCAACATGAGATGATCTGATATGATTACCTGCAAGGGACTCTGGAAATCATTCACAATGAACACATTTGGATCTTCTGACGACCTATAAAAAGCTAGTATCATGTAAGACTATGAATTCTGAATATTTTCTTTGTGGCATAACTATGTAACGAGTCATCCAGTTCCATACGATGATAAACTCTGGTGAGCCAAAAGTTTTCATGTTAGGCCTCTCTAATGAGTAAGAAACAAGTGCTATAAATGCCTGTCAATACATTGACACTGTGCATTCCTAAGCTACTTTGATGCAGTAACCGAACAGACTATAAAGACAGGTTATAAATGCAAGTCCTGCAGGCACTTGCCAGGAACAAAAACTATCTCATATCAGACACAAACCTTGCAAGAAAAACATGCTGCTTCACTATGGCCAGAAACTCCCTGACTCCTCCATTATAGAAGTACAGAGGCGGAAATGCAAGTCCTGCAGGTCATTTTAAACGATTAAGTCTAAATCATTCGACTTGTCGTGAAGGAAAAGGGAAACCCCCTCCCGTTATAGTAATTCAATATATTCACTATATATATCTCAAAAAAAGCAACAGCCGAAGTTTTGCTTACCAGAAGACAAGACAACAATAACATACTGCCATCCAAGAGTAGGAGTATGTCGCCTAATGGACCTCACTTCAGTAAATGGAACCGCGGTGATGGTATAAAGACTCCTGTCTAGAAAAGATATAGAAACTAAGAACAAAGTTAAGGCATTATCTTCAATACCAACATATACGAATTCAGTTCAACGAATCCTAATTACCTTTCTCTGATAACTTTGCATTTGAAGTTTGTCCCTTGTACGGAATCCACGACTAGCCATCATATATCAAAAAATGGAATCAAGTAAGTGAATAAATACAAAACTAATACATCAAACAATCAATTTCATCCTCTTAAATTCTTGGATCATATCCAAACAAAAAGGAGTTGCAAATGATTGATTACCAGAAAGAGAACAGAATCTTGCTTAGTCAACTTCAATCTACCACTAATCCTCTCAGATGCGAACTGTGTAGGATGAATTGCAACGTTATCTTTCAAATATATCAATTCAGCGTCTTCGTGTTCACTTGGTGAACTTCTCTTTCCGCTATCGCTACGCATCATACTAGCCGATCCCTAACAAAATCAAACGATCGATTCAAACATCGAATCAAATAGATAACGAATTCAAATTCGCATTGGCGGAGATGATCCATCGGAAAACTACGATCCACTTGTTGTTGAACATCGTCTCAAAGCAAGAGAAGAAGGAGAAAGTGAGAATAACAAACTTGTTGTTGAGAAGCGGCGTAATCGGCGTCGTCGGAGAGATCCTGTAGCTCCGATGCTTCCATACTCATGGTGACTTGACGAAGAGAGAGAGAGAGAGATGAGAGATCGATTACCCTGGAGACGAAGTAATTAGAGAGGAAGCTTACGCGTCGTCGAGAATATTCGATTACGTGTGTATCTTCATTAATTTTGCAGTTAAAAAGGTGTTAATTACGGGTCGGCGTTGTAACCGAACCGAACCAAATTTAATTGAATCGAATTTGGTCAACTTTATAGTAATCCGAATATTACAAAAATATATAAATTTATACGAGAAAAATGTCATTTAGATCATCAGTTTATTATTTTCGTTGGTTTAAATCATGAACTCTAGATCTGGTGATTTAAATCTTTATTTTTATGTTGATTTTCATTTTAATCATGAATTCTCATTGACAAAGCCAATTAAGGCACATCGCTAACTGACTAAAGGATCAATAAGACGATGTCATCGCATAACTGGTACTTCGAAGCCATTGCATAATTTTTCTTCTACATCAACATGGTTTCCATCTTCCTCTTCGTCTGATTGCTCCGTTTAGCCAGTTAACAATGAGCCTCAATTGACTTAGTCAACGAGAATTCATGATTAAATTGATAGTCAACATAAAATTGAGGATTTAAATCACCAGGTCCATATAAAGTTGAGGATTTAAATAATCAGGTCCAGAGTTCATACTTTAAACCAACAAAAATGGTAAACTGATGATTTAAATGGCATTTTTCTCAAATTTATATAGTAGCAAATGCGAATTTGGTGCAACTGAACCACGTTAACAGAATTTATTAAAAATTCATATTTTTAGTTGAGTCAAATACAAATTAAACAATTAAGTTTACTTTTTATTTAAAACCAAATCAAAATTGAACCGAATCAAACCGGAATAAAATATTGGTTTTTCGTTCTCGTTTTCCAAAAACTTACGATCTATAAAATCCAAACTGATAAGCGAATAACAAAAATAAATAACTTTACAAGATCAGTTTTTAACCCATACAGTGAAACGACGTAGTTGAATTTTTTTATTTAAAAAAACAATTAGAAAATTGTATCAATTCTCAAATGAAATGTTAAAATATTTTTTTGTTAGCTATTTTTTTTTGTAAAATTCACTATATGAAATGAAAGTAAACATCTTTTAAATGTTGAAATGTAAGTATATATACATGTTGTGACTGGATATAACTATATTTCTTTATCCTTATTAAATAAATCACAAGTCACTTCTCTAATAATTGCACTCTTATCCTTCAGCCACGTGTCTTAAGTCTTAAATTATATGGAATTATTACTGAATAGCCAAATTAGACACACAAATTAAGTAAATAGCAGAGAGAAAATTTTTTGTTGCAAAATAGCCATGGTCCCACCTTGTCAGAAGAAGTGAAATAACGAAATCATCCTTCGTTTGTTGCAAGTTCAACCGTATGCAAGACAATTTCGTGAGATTTTGCAAAATAGCATGTAACATTTAAAGTTCACATGTTATATTAAACTGAAATACATGATATTTGGAAAAATATAGTGATTTTTTAAGAAAAAACATCGTTATGGAAAAATCTAACCTGAAAAACATATTTTTAAAAAAAAATTACATGTGATCTTAATAAAAACCGTGTAATATTACAAAATAAGAATCTTTTTTTAAAGAAATCACATGTAATCTAAAGAAAAAACATGTATTACTATAAAATAACATGATAAAGAGAGATATTAAACTAAATAGAATGTTTTTTCAAGAAATACCATGTGCTTTTTATAAATAATGTGTAATACGAGAAAATAACATGATAAAAAGATCTATATTACGTTATAACATGTGATTCGAGAAAAAAACGTGTTACAAAGAACACTTACGTAATTTCACAAGCATTCCGACATGTTCCCGACATGTTCCCGACATGTTACTGTAGCTCATGGTTAGTTTGTATATTCTTTTTGAATTCATGGTTACTTTGTATATATTCCCTAAATTATATACTTTCACTTTCTTTTTTTTTACACTAATTTACGATTAAAATCAAAATTGACTTACATGTCTGATGTCTCATAACATTATTAAGGTTTTGCTTTCTTATCATGTCCTTTTGGGATTAATCATTGTAGTAATGGTACTAATCATATTCCTTTTATTTATAATCAGTCATTTCTAGGCAAAGATTGTTGAAATAATAGATAGACGGTGAAGACTTGTTGTTGTTGTACTCATTTCTTTGCTTACTATCTCATATTTCTATTTGTATTGTGTACAAATCTTTGGCCTTGATTACAATTACAATGTCTTTCATCTGCTCCAGGAGACCAAAACATTAGCATGCTACGGCTTTTTGGTAAGTTCTTCACTGGGCTCTGATCACTCACATACATATATTATATTTCAGTCACAGCCTTTTAAAATTTTCTTTTATTTTTGTTTTGACAATAACTCAAAATTATGGTCAAAACTCTACGAATCAAGCTGAAATCTGCTTTGAAAATGCATAGAAGCTCATATCAATGGTTTAAACCACAACCATCTTCCTTTTCAAGTTTAGAACGAGAACTAGAAGCTTCAAAGCAAATACCTCATTTACCTTATAAGAGTGTAATCTGATGAAACAGAATGAACAAATAAGGATTGGACATGTGGAAGATGGTGATACTCCTCTCGCTTATTCGGTGGAAGAAGAGGCCACGTGGATCCATTAAATAGAAGTGGGAGTGATTCGCTGTCGATGACTTGGGCAAATCCTAGAAAATGGCCCCATCACCTCTCCTTACCTCAAATTCTAAACCCACTTTTTGTATTTGTTTTGATATTGCTTGCTTTTACTAAAAATGTGATTTTTTTTTTCTTATTATAAACAAGATTAAAAATATTATTGTAATTTAACTCAACATAATTAAAATTAAGTTACACAATAATATTTGTTCTATTATTTTAAAAAAGTAAACAAATGGTATAGTTTTAATTAATTTTTATAAAATAAAATAAAAATGTGGCCTCTCTCTATTTAGTTCTTGTCTCTGCAAAGCTTTACCACACAATCATCTCTCTTTCTCTTTGTCTCTATAAACTCTCTTTCAAAGTTTCATAAAACCTCAACGACCTCCTTCCATGGCAGCAGGACTCTCAACAATCGCCGTAACACTCAAACCACTCAACCGCTCTTGTTTCTCCGCAAACCACCCTATCTCCGCCACAGTTTTCCCTCCATCTCTCAGATTCAACGCCTTTAGACGTCGAAAGATCCTCACCGTTTGTTTCGTCGTTGAAGAACGGAAACAGAGCTCTCCCATGGATGACAAACCGGAAAGCACGACGAGCTCTTCTGAGATCTTGATGACTTCGCGGCTTCTCAAGAAAGCAGAGAAGAAGAAATCAGAGAGATTCACTTATCTAATCGCAGCGGTGATGTCAAGCTTTGGTGTTACTTCTATGGCTATCATGGCTGTTTATTACCGATTTTCTTGGCAAATGAAGGTAATTAATAAAGAAAATACAGAAATAATCATTCGATTTTTCCATATTTTTCGTCCGAATTCTGAAAACTGAAACTCGATTTTTTTGGTTTGGATTTAGGGAGGTGAAGTGCCTTTATCAGAGATGTTTGGTACATTTGCTCTCTCAGTTGGTGCTGCCGTAAGTTTCATTCCAAAATTTATCCGAACCAAACCAAAATTTATCGATCTAAATCCGAACCAAATTTTGTTATAGAACGGTATAAAGATCCCTATATCAAATTTTTGTAATCTTTTTGGTTGGATTTGAAGGTTGGGATGGAGTTTTGGGCAAGATGGGCTCATAGAGCTCTTTGGCACGATTCTTTATGGAACATGCATGAGGTAATTCACTTTTTCATATCATTCTGGTTTTTTTTTTTCCGGTTTACTGCTAACAAATGAAAAAATCTGATCCGGTTATTGGTTTGTGGCAGTCTCATCACAAACCAAGAGAAGGAGCGTTTGAGTTAAATGATGTGTTCGCTATAATAAACGCGGTTCCTGCGATTGGTCTTCTCTATTATGGATTCTTTAATAAAGGACTTGTTCCTGGTCTCTGCTTCGGTGCCGTAAGTCTTTTTCTCTCTTTCTCTTTTTCGACAATATCCAAAACTCAAAAAGAAAAAAGATAAAAAGTTATTAAAAAACAGAGAGAAGCAATAGTAAATTGGTATTTGACTTCTTAAAATATTAAGCTAATTTTTTAATTTAAGTCACCGAAACCGAAAGTATGAAATTCTGTCTTATTTTCACCGTCCCACAAAAGTGTAAACGTGTGAGTTGGGTGATATCTAGCTACCGTCCAAGCATATATAAAACATTAGGCAGTACTTAAACCACATGAAACTACACTAAACGAGTATTATTCTGTATAATTTAATAGGAGTGGGCATAAAGAACCTAAAATCTAATTCAAATTTAATTATAATCGAAATGGTTTTGGAGCTTGCAATTTTTCTTAGCGGACTTGTTTGTATATGGACCAGGGACTGGGAATAACGGTGTTTGGAATGGCTTACATGTTTGTCCACGATGGACTCGTGCACAAGAGATTCCCTGTCGGTCCCATTGCCAACGTTCCTTACCTCCGAAAGGTCGCGGCCGCTCACCAGGTTTAATACCATTATACAACGGTCTTAATTGTTCTTACGTACATAATTAATTACTATCGATTTACAATATTAATCTAATGAAGATGATGTGGTTTTAACATTTCAGCTACACCACACAGACAAATTCAAGGGTGTACCATATGGGCTGTTTCTTGGACCCAAGGCAAAAATCTATAACACCTTTTCAAAACTTTAAATAAGAGATATCAAGTGATAATTTGCATGTTACTTTTGGTTAACACGTGAATTGGTTTCTGTTTTGTTTGTTGGCATGGTTTGGGTTTTGATTTTGGGAATGGTGCAGGAAGTGGAAGAAGTGGGAGGAAAAGAAGAGTTGGAGAAAGAGATAAGCCGGAGAATCAAATTATATAACAAGGGTTCTTCTACCTCTTAATTGCTATATAACCCCAATTTTACTTCTTTTATGTTTTTGTAATATATTAAGGACCAATATTTGTTTTAGTAGATATATAAAAATGACGTAGAAGAAAGAGTCATGCTAACTCAATATTTCTACTTAGTAATTTATATTTTGTCTATGTGCCTAACAAATAAAAGAGTGTATATATGAACTATGAACTGATGAAAATTGAAAAACCATGCTATATATGAATTTCTAATCAAATGTTGTCAAATTAAACCTCCTAATAATATTAATATGTTCAAGAAACTAATTAGAGCACAACTGCACAACTAGTTTTGTCGACCGTTTAGACAGAGAGATAGAGATAGACACTACAAGAAAATAGCTATATTGCAACACAATTTTTACAACGTTCTTTTTTGTTGAAATTTTGCAACACATTTTGCAATATTTTTGCAATAATGAGTACATGTTGTAATTTTATTACAAAGTTATTGCAATATTACAACAAAAAATTTTGTTGTAAATTTTCGTTACCAATTTGCAACGTTCTTACGACATGTTAAAAATTTCATGCAAATTTTGCAAGAAACATTCAACGATGGTAAGTCGTGGGTTTTTTGCAACAAAAAATACATAAGCCCTATGTAGCTATATTTGCAGCATTTTTAGTAACATTTAACAACTCTGGTATATTAAGAATAATTGGACAAAATTTATGGTATTGTTTGGCTTACTCTATAGAGATATGATCCCATATATTCATATCATGAGTTAGTGAGAGTTTGAAGTGTGATTTTTGTAGTTGGCATAAAAACGAACATAAGCAGACCGAGGTTGACGAATCAGAGTCAAATTTTATTATAATTTGCAGTCATGTAAAATTTCATACCGAATCCAAATCGAACTTAAACCAATCCCAAAATTTTACATGCTTGTGATATATGTTAATTTTTTATAAACTACTATGGTTTACTTAAGATTAAACAAACACATTATTATATAAAAAATTTATATGTACACGTAAAATGGTATATGTTTAGCTATTTAGCATTCCCTGTTTTCATTTGCCCAAAAATAAATTTCCAGATTTTGGAACAATGATCCTCTCTAACAGTTTATATATATCCCTTTATATTTATTTATTTATTATTTTTGCTTTTATTTACAAGAACCAACAAATAGATTTTGATTCTTATAAATAGTAAACCTAAACAACCTTCTTAACCACATCGACACTAGAAAAAGAGCTGGGGTTTTATAGATTATCAATCCCAACACCACATTATCAACAAAACATGAAAATTAAGATTCAAGGAGCTAATGCTTTTTCTTGACCCGTGATTTCTTCGGTGGTGGATATAGCAGAATTTTGTTAGGTACGATACTACCATGAGCGATGTAACTCCACTCCAAAGTTTTTCGAATTCATCATCGTTCTTAATCTCAAGAGGAAGATGCCTCGGAATGGTCCTAAATTTTCTATAGTCTCTCGCCTGGTTAGCAGCTTCATATTAGCCCTTTCTTAGTTCACCATAAGTCCATAATTGGGTAGCTCTCCATTCCGACGAAGGTAGAAAAACTAAGTGTTTATATTTTTATTTGATACGATTTAACTTTGATTAAGTTCTTAAGTTGTTTTATTTTTGTTGTATGTTTTTTTTTTTTGTATATATTAACTCTGTTTTACTTATTTTTTAAATATTTTCAGATAAATCATTAACAACCTATTTGTTAGAGGAAATCTTAACAAAATTGCAAAAATCAAGGAAATACCGAGAAGCTTAAAGGATAATATTGGAGAAACTGTTTTTATTATTTTATTTGTTTTTTATTTATTTTTGTTTTGATGTATTGATTTTTTTTAATATTTATATTTTGTTGTATGTTTCTCTTTGGTTGTCTCGTATATATTTATCTTTTATTCAATCTTAGAGTTTCTATTATATATAATATAATATATTTTTTAATATAAAATTTAATACTGATTAATCATTACAATTGAGTAACAATCCATGGGTCAAATTATAAACATAGCAAAATTATTGTGACAAAAACATATATGGACCAAACGATTCACAATAGAATCTTGACTATATATATTGTTATAACAATGAAAAATATTAATTATGACAATACTTGCAACAACTTATGCTTTTGTAATAGTAAAAAAATCTTTGTAACAAATGTATATTGCAAAATAGTTATCACAATTCTGCAACGATATTTGCTATATGTTTTACGTAACAATGATTTACGACAATTTATTGTTGCAAACGTACGTCATAAATATACGACAAATTTACTGCAAAAATATTGTTGCATTAATACAACATTTATAGCGAGAAATTGATTCATTGCAAATTTTACGACGTTTGTGCGACAAATTCAAATTTGCAACGCTCAATTAGCAACGATATAAATTTGGTCGCGATTTCATTGCAATTATATATTGGCAACGTTATATTGGCCTATAGCAACATTTTCCAATATTGCAATATCCCTATTTTCTTGTAGTGAGATTATAACATAACATTCGAAAGCAAACACCAAATGTTCGATTATGAGATCAACAACACTTGACTTCAAGCGAAAAATGCTCTGGGATTCCATCTGTTGTTCTCCTTGCGATAACATTATAATCTCGACCGCAACAGTTTTTGAAGCTAATGTAGAAGATTGCATTCGCCGCCTTGACCTTTTTCTTCGACTCCACATCTTCTTTTGTACTTACAACTATCTTTCTCAGCTCCAACGGTTTTACAGGCTGAATTGTTTTCTGCAGCAACACACACCAAGAGATATCATTATATATTACTACCGTACCAACACAAAAAATTTCCCCTTCTACTTTTGTTTTTTCTAAGTCAAGTCTTTATAATCCTCACAAATTCAGATCCTTGCAAGGTCAACAAGGCGAGTTCCGCGTATAGATGAAGCCATTCCTTGTCTTCTTCCACCTCTGAATCTTTCATCTGCAAATCATGCATGTCAACAACATCCATCTATTTTTTATTTGCATAATTCCATTAATCTTTTAACACTAAAAAGTTTCACCTCATAGTATTGCATCTTATTATTTCCCGTTAGCGCATCATTCGGCAACCAATTAGGCATCTCACCTTTGAAGAAATCATCCACGAGAGCTTTGTTAAAGGGATTATGGCCGCGTCCCTTCTCTGAGTCTGAGAGATACTCTCATATAATAATAGCCAAGTGAAAATAGTCAGCATCTTAGATGGACAACTAGACACACTAGTAAGACAAAAATATATTGAGTCATGCATGCAAGTTTTTAACTAACAAATTAAAGGTAGCATTACCGATTTACATTTTACCTGGATTATTTTGCGGCTTTATTCTACATTTTGTTACAATTGCACTCAAGCAATCTTTATTCTCAATCGCATGCCTAGCCAGTGTTTCGAAAAGGCAACTGGAATTGCGCCGCATTGGATCCACTGCCTCCAATGTTACAGCGTAAGAAATAATCGAGCTGAACCATGAATGAAACTCTTGTAAAGACACAAATTGTAAGTTGGTACCCTACAATATCAAGAAAAACAAAGTTCAACTAAAATCACTACAACTTGTATGATATACAAAACCAGTAGTAGAAATAAGCAAAAGTTCATTAGTGGCCCAAGTGAAAAGAAAGATATTTTTACCTGTTGAAGATTGTAGCAATGAAGTCCAACTTTACCAAAGAGCTCTTCCTCACTAGACAGTATTTGTTCCTCTTTGTAAGGGTAAAAAATCGACTCCTTTATAACAAAAAACAAAAAAAAAACACATTCACATTCACATAAAGAGGAATCAGTGTTAAGATTTAAATGCAGAATAAAATCCATTTTTTACCCGAGACCGAAATTGTTGCGCCCGGCCACTCTCAGCCCGAGACCAACTATTGAGAGAAGAGAGAGGATATAACAGCGGAGCATGGGGCAAGAACATCGGAGGAGGGGGCAAGAACATCGGATTCTCATAACTATGTGATGAGTTTCTGTTCGGTACAAGATCAAGTTCCTTGAAAACCACATTCAGAGTCAGTTTTTTGGATCGAGAGAGAGAGAGACCTATATATATATATAAGGTTCATCCAAAAATAAAAATCCAATTACCCGAACTCCCGTCAGAACCTGAGAAAGATTGAGAGGTTCTATTGGTGCAGAGGCAGAGGGCAAGAACACCGGAGCAGAGGCAGGGGGCAAGAACATATGAGGAGAGGAGCTCTGAACAGAGGGCAACAAGGATCTCTGAGCTTCCAGATACTCATGACTCTGTGGTGGTGATGATGCTTCCTCGCTCGATTCTCGCTTCCACATGACGTTAGGGACTTTTGGACCTTTTAACCCTAATTTTTGAAAGAGAATTATCGGTTGTTAGATTTAGACGAAGATTTATGTATATCAAATTCACCATGCATGTATAGAATAAAGGGAATTACTAAGCATCAACAGACAGATAATCTATTTGGAAGATGAAGTGGAGAGATCTCAAGTGACGTGACCAACAAGTGTTAGGTGTTACTTAATTAATCATGGATTTTTATTGAATTAAAATCCAAGCATAATGTGCTTTTATTTAATGATTCTAAATTCTGCATTAATATCTTATGTCTTGCAATAAAGTTTCAATAGTTAAAATAATTAGAAACAAAATCCATTTTTAAAACATTTTAGAATCCACACACTTAGATTCTACCAATACAATAATTTTACAAAATCTATAAAACATAAATAATTTACTTTAAATCAATATTCCAACTATAGTTTTTTTTTTGGGATAAAAGGCAAAATAGTTTAAGGAAAAAAAAAATCAAATGATAATTCAAATTATTATTTAAGGAAAAAAAAACAAATATCAAGCCACGTAATAGTTGTGTGAGGTTGGAGATTATCCATATACTTGGGTTATGAGGAAAATATTTGAAAGTTTAAACTTTAAAGTTTAAAGAAAAAGAAAAACATAAAGAAAGAATTAAGCTCTCCATTAGAAGGACAAATGGATCATTTGGCATTTAAAAAAATAGATAATTTGCTAATTAATCATATTGCCAAATAACACTTTTTCAAAGTGTCACAAAGATAACTTCAATCTTCCACAGAAAATTTTCCAGGTTGAGTGAAACTCTTTTCGAGTTGCTCCACTTTGCTGAATCTGAAACCTCTGATTCTTATTTCTTCTGGAACCGATGTGTCCTTGTAATCCACACTCTCCATTGTCCAACCATTGTTCTTTATCAAACCTCCAAGTTTTACCTGTTTTCACAATGTCACATAAGTAGGCTTAATAGGATGATAAAATCAAAGAGATAACAATAACACATTACATACCTCTGCATCATCAATGGAATCTACAATAAGAGCACCATCCAAGGAGAGATCTTCAATAAATACATTACGACCCTTGATAGCCATTGTGGACCTTTGAGAGACCTCACAGTTCCCGCTGACTTTCTTTTTGATATCAGAGAAGATCATTCCCCATTTGGGTTTCCATGTGATACGAGACCATACTTCAACCTCTTGGCCATTCAAGACCTGCTTCACAGGCTCTTCCATTTTGACACCAGCCTGAGGTATTCGTAAAGCCAAAGAAAATAGATGTTGCTTTAGACAATCATGGAGATTATTTAAGGATATACACTAGTATCAATTTTCTCTAGAGAGTACTAGCATGGGATTAACCAGAAATTAGAAACAAGTTGGACAGTTCATAGGCATATGTGAAACAGAGATCAATACAACTAATTTACCTTTTGAAGAATGAGGCTGTTAGCACGATAAATCGCCATTTCTCCAGAAGTTGCACTGTGATATGGGTTTCCCTTTGGTACCTTCAGTGGATATAAAAAACCGTATTATATAGTCAGAAAGGAAGTACCATCATTCATATTTAGTATTCCTTTCAAATGTAGGTTACAGTTTAAGACATGAACTTTATTGATCAATATTTGCTCTGTTTATTAAGTATTTTACCTTAGCAGCATCCTCAGGATTATTCTTTACGGGTGCATAAGCAAGCCATATATCCATCACCTACATGAAGAAACATTGTCACTACAAGTCTACAAGCATGCATAACTAAAATACTGTTTTTAGTCTACAGATAGTAGTTACCGTGAATCCAACTCGTGCAGTTGGAGGCAATGTCTTTGGATAATCTTGCATCATACACTCTAGACGAGTTGAAGATTTAAACGCTGTTTTGGTGCTATCCTTGTATCTATCATATAATCCAGAGAGTAGATGTCAAAGCATAGAATCAAAGCATCTGATTAAAACTACTAGTAATAATTACTCTCTAATGAGAAACACTGAAGAGAATGATACATTTCAAGAATGGGAACAATAAAAAGAAGAATTACTTTGGATTAACAAACTCTTTGATGGCCCCTCCAGTTTTTTGCAACTCGTCTTTGTAGGGACCAAGTTCCAGAATCAACTGCATTGGAAAACATAAACAAGATACAAAATATTTAGAGTCTTGAGAGACAAATCCGGGCTCGTCAAGTAGAAGACAAGACAACTCACTTGATTAATATTTCCCGGGAATGGGGAAAAGCCCGTCTCACAGTTAACATCTCCATCAGGGAATCCAGATGCTCTAAGTAGAGGATCAAGTTGATTGTACTCCACATTGATTACCATAGATCTGCCTAGAAACCATTTAAATCCATCCACTCGATTATCAAACGGAAAATACAAAAAGTCTCATTGAAAAAGTGTATCAATACTGTGGATTTCTACTATTTAGTATTTAGATAAGTTACCATCAACGTGAGTAAGTTTAGTAATTCCTCCAATAGCTTCCTTCGCTTTACGGGGAACAGCAAGAGAGTTGACATGATACTGTTTGGTTGCACTCACACCCAAAGAAGCTGGAATTGCCTGAACCAATGAAGCACATTAAGGAATTTATTATTTCCAACAAATCTTGTATGAATATTTAACACACAAGAGTTGAGTCTGCTACTAACATTGAAGAGAAGTCCATTTGTATCTTGGAAAAACAATACCCATTTTAAACCAGCATCAAGCCTGAAATTGCAACGAACAATAGAAAGAGAAAATATCAGCAATAAACTTATAAAATAACATCTATATGAAATCAACTTAAACGCTATCTCATAGAAGAAATACCATTTATGAAGAAGGCCACTGGAATATAGAAGTGAATGTACATCGCCATGTCCATGAGGTTTTGTCTATGAATAACCAAAAAAACGACGGTCAGCCTGGAAATATTTGTACTAGCTTTGGAAACGTTAACACGAAAACAAGTACCTGGATACTGTATTTGTTGTGAGGGTCTAATGCAAGCCTGGCATCGTTATCATCAAGACATGCAACTTTTTCCTGGTAAAAAAGTAGCCAATAGTGCATTTTTCTCAAAACATTTCAAGTTTTCATAAACTCTGTTTAGGACACCCCGTATATGATCATTTACCTGTTTTAGAAGATGAACTTGAGTAGGTTTCATCCCAAAATAAGAGTTTGACTCTAATAACTCCAGTGTACGTGAATGTGTATCATCAGATGTCATAATAATGAAAGGAATGTCTCTCTGACTTCCATCTGCAGAAATATACAATCACAATTACTCTGAGTGTGAAAAAGTACTTATTCACTTATATTGATTAAAAAATTAGAAACATACCAGAAGCGATCTTGTTGCTAGCTTCTTGAAGAGCCAATATAGATTCAATATAGTGCTGCAAGAAGCATGTCCCAGTAGTTGTCTCCCTTGGAAGTGCCACCTAAGAAATAGATTCGTAATTGGGTCAAATTTGCTTGGAGGTCTAATCTCAAAACAGTAGGATAATTTATACAAGCATTGCTCTCAAACATTGTTCACTATTTACCTTGATTCCATTGTAACCAAGACGCTCGCCAAGACCACCAGCAACAAGAACAAAAGCAGCATTCCTAGCTTCGACGACACCTCTTTTTTCCATTTCGATGAAGTTCTCATTACCAAAAGTAAGATTTTCTCCTGAAGGAACCTACAAAGACCACATGAACCATTTGTTACAAAACAATAGAGACAACACAAACAATAAAACTTTTGAATTCATAACTAAAAAAAAAAAGATTTATGTTACTTACAGAAGGAGAGAAACCATCATATGGGTTCTTCCCTAGTTTGGAATCAGCGAGAAGCTCTTTCGCAGTCTTAATGTACGCCGCTAAACCCCCAGGATAGCTTGAATTTAAGCGAGCAATCTAATAAACAAAATGATATATATTAAGTCCTGTTTCTAAGTCCATTCATCAAAACATTGAGATGTAAGAAAAAAACCTGATCGAAAAAATCTAGTTTCTGTTTGTCATCAACGCCAAGTTGAGGCCATTGTTGGAAGAGATGACTCTGACCATTTTCCAATAAGATCTTGGCCAATTCGATCTGCCACAAAATCAGATCACACAAGGTAAGAAACGAATGGATAACATTAGTAAACAGAAGACAAATGAAGAAGTAGAAGAAACCTGATCAGGAGACAAAATTCCGAGGTTACTCTGAAGAGCTGGGACGGATGAGAAGATATTGGAATCAACCGTGGAAGCCATGGAAAGGCTTGGAACAATGGAAGAGAACACGAGCAAATTGCAAGCTGGTGATGTGTTAAAAAAAACAATATTTCAGAACATGGCATGAAACAGAACATCAGCAAAACTCGGTTAAAAAAATCTGAAACTTTCGTGGCGATCAAGGGAAACACGAACAAAGAAAAATTCGGTTAAAGTTCACGGAAGATAAAGAAGATTGAATTCGGTTGTGTAATCCATAATTCAAAAAAAAAAAAAAAAAAAAAAATCTGGAATGCAAAAACAACAAATCGATCTCGATTCACAAAACATAAACGGCGAGGTAAGAGCATAATGCGATGAGAAGAGATGAAATTGAGAAGATGGTTATATCGGTTTACCTGTAGCTTCTTCGACGACTGGGGGGGAATTGTATAGAATATTGATAGAAATGAGAGAGAAGAGGAAAAAAGACGGGTTTGTGTCGGTGAAAATTGAAGAAGAAGACCGAACCAAATTATGTGTTTTGTTCCGAATTTGAGATTTGGGAGATCGATCGAGACGACAGAGAGAGAGTTTGAGATAAAACTGGAAAGTGTATCACGAAGATTCGTTTCACCAAACGAATCAAAAATCGAACACACCTTTTTAAGCAATGTATTTACGAATAATCACCAATTTAATAATTTTCTGATTACCCATGGCCCCCACCTAAGGCATTTTGCCGTGGAGAAGATATTGGGAGGGCAAAGCGCAACATGAAAGCCCATCTAAATTTACTATTAAAATCTAAGATTTAGCCCATAAAAGGCCCACGACTTTTTTTATTTTGACAGTCATACATACATACACTTGTTGCTTTCTGTAAGATCCAACCTCAGCCGTTTACCAAACACAATTGGCAATACTTTTCTAATCTAACGGCCGAACAAAGAGATGTGCGTCCCATGCATATATCATCGACTAATCATGTTTAGGTCGCCACGTGGTCATTCTCCACACATCATCTACCACGTGTCACTTTTTAATTGGATTAAAAATACCATAATGGGCTCCAGTGTCTCTTCTTCGTCATCCTCTTTCTCTAAATCTTCTCGTTTCTTTCGTCTCTCTGGATCGAAATAGCAACTTTACGTCCGCCATTTGGTCTCTCTCTCTCTCTCTCTCTCTCTCTATCCGATAAATCTCGGGAGAAGGTAGTCGAAGTAGTTCGCTTCTATGCCATTTTGCCGAGGTTAGGATCCAATTCCTTTTCATAATTGCTTCGATTCAATCTTCAATTTCCATAGATCAATTCAATTTGAATCTATTTTGGAATACTTCATGATTGATTACCTTAGGTTGTGATCTCTCAACCGATTTATTCATTTCGTGTTTGGTTTGATTTTGGTGTATGCATTAGTTTCTCAAACAGAGCTGATCATTATAGTTTGATTGATCCGATCCTAGTTTCTCCCAGATTTCATGAAATTTGGCTTATGATTTGATTCAAATTGACTTTTTTATGTCCATGTTTTGTGGATTATCTACTCATAGAGTCATAGTTATTATTTATTAAGGGTTTCTGCAGTTTGGTGTTAGCTTTCAGAATTAGGGTTTCAATGTTGATCGAGACTATGTGCATTCAATTTTGGGTGATATTTATCTTGGTTTGTTGACCAGTGTTAATTATACTGAACCACTGTTTCTTCTAGGTCAAGTTTGGTAACCTCAGTGAGTTATTTAAGTAAACTTTTACGATTCAGCTGGTTGTGAAAAAGCTTTCTTGTTGAATGTTTTGAGGTCTTGCAGCTTTCATTAGGTTAAGAAAGCAGATGTGTTGGTTTGGTTTTGTATATTGCTTTGAGATTCCTGTTACCGCAAGTCTAATCTAGTAATGTTTCCTTTGTAGAAAATGGGAGAAGTTAAGGGATGTTGGAAATTAGGACGAATGCTTCCAAGGGATAAGTCTGCAAACTCCTACAACGTCTCCCTTCTCTTATCTCCGGTTGTTTCTGTTTGGGATTGTATTGTCCGTAAAATGAGGTATACCTACATACCTGAGTGGGTGTAGTAGTCATTGAGATCATCGCGCCCTGGTACTGTGAGTTTGGTTTAGTTTATTCAGTTGGTAGAAGAAGAAGCAAGATACCTTTATGTATACGTTTTAGTTTTTACTCTTTGTAGAGTATCCAAAAGCCAGGCAAACAAAGACTTTTAGCAATCATGGATAACAGTAGCTCGATGCAGCCGATTGTTAGAAAAGCCAGGAAGAAGAAAGTAAAACATGAAGTGGATCGAATCAAACAAGCTGAGAAGAAAAAGAGACGTCTTGAGAAAGCTATTGCTACTTCTGCAGCGATTCGGGCTGAGCTAGAGAAGAAGAAGCAAATGAAGAAGGAAGGACGGCTAGACGCAGCAGTTGAAGAAGATTCAGCAGATGCTGCAAAGAATAAGCAGGAGAGAGACGAACTGGAGCGTAGCAAACAAGCAGAGAAGAAAAATATTCGGCTGGAGAAATCCATCGCTACTTCTGCAGCCATCATGGCTGAGCTAGAGAAGAAGAAGCTTAGAAAACTTGAGGAACAAAAGAGATTGGATGAGGAAGGTGCCGCCATTGCTGAGAAGAAAAAGAGACGTCTTGAGAAAGCTATTGCTACTTCTGCAGCGATTCGGGCTGAGCTAGAGAAGAAGAAGCAAATGAAGAAGGAAGGACAGCTAGACGCAGCAGTTGAAGAAGATTCAGCAAAGAATAAGCAGGAGAGAGACAAACTGGAGCGTATCAAACAAGCAGAGAGGAAAAAGAGACGTCTTGAGAAATCCATCGCTATTTCTGCAGCCATCAGGGCTGAGCTAGAGAAGAAGAAGCTTAGAAAACTTGAGGAACAAAGGAGATTGGATGAGGAAGGTGCCGCCATAGCAGAGGCTGTTGCTCTGCACGTCTTACTTGGCGAAGATTGTGATGACTCATACCGAAACACGCTTAACCAAGAAACAGGTTTCAAGCCATGGGACTCAACTACCAAATTCAATCTTTTTAGCGGTGGAAGAAACATATTTTTTCCTCACCAACGGTGCTCGAGCTATGCAGTTCATAGTAATAACAGAACAAGAGAGAGTAACTGGTCGTCAGTCTCATATGAGCCTTTCGCAAGAGGATGGGATAACAACAACAACAACAACATGAGAATATCAGCTGATTTGATTGCTGCTCAAGCTGTGTCGTCACTACAGATCTCTGAGAATACTGACGTTGACGCCATTGTCTTCAATGGGATGTTCAGAAGATGACAGTATCATAATTCCCAAAGAATAAAGCATTTGTAACTTATTAAAAGTTTGTGTGCTGTTTTTATTTTACATACCAAACAAACTTCTTCGTCTCTTACACTGTGAAAATACTTTCATCTCTCTTTGGCTTTTTAGTGAAGTGAGACTCATAGTCATATCATATGATCTGTGATTTTGTTTCTTTTGTAGTTGTACTTTATTTAATCCTTCTCATTTCATTGGCATTTTCAGTACTAGCAATAGCTTCAAATAAAAAAATGCAGCTGTTGCGTGAATCATTTGGTTAAAATGAAACGACGTGGTTTCTAACTTGGTGAGTGACTAATTTTTGACTTTTCAATAACCGGTTCGGTTTTCTGTTTAACCGGATAGACATTTACTGGTTACAGCCATAAATTCTGATTCTGGTGCTCCTGCTTTTTGATTCAAGTCTGCCTGCGTCTGTGAGATCGCGCTTTAGCTTGGTAAAGTTTGCTTCCATGGAAACTCTCTGAATCTTTACAACATTTTTCATCTGTTATTACTTCCGAAGTATACGAACTATCTGCTTCTTCTCTCCAGTGTTGTTCAGTTGTGTGTTGAGATGTAATCGAATTAGCTGATTAGGCGAACTAACTATTGATTACAACTCAGAAAAATCTATGAGGTGAAATTAGGGTTTTTTGGCTTGTTTCTCTTGATTGATTAGTATTGATTATTGTACGATTAAGATTCTGTTGGCAATAGTTACTCTAGTTATCACACTTAGAACAGACAATAAGTTTGACCACAGATCTTGCTCCCTAGAACTAAAATAGGTTCTCTTGTTTGATGCTTATTGAACAACTACAATTAAGCCTCTGTTTTCGATAGTGCTTAGGGAAGTAATATAGAGTAGTAACTAAGTATTGCTAGATTTGGTTTATGATTTTCCTTTGTGGCTTTTGATGAACAAATTACTATTGATTATTTATATAAAATCGTTCGCTTCGCATCTCGATATTGAAAAATAGTTTGGTTGCCTTTGAGGATTGTACTCTTCTGAAATCTTGAGAGGGGAACTTGTTTTATACCAGAGAGTAGGAAAAGGTCTTGTTCTAATGTTGAGGTTGTTTATTTGCAGGTGCATGCAGAACACATTCTTTTGAGTCCTTGAGCTTGGTCTTTTTTCACTCTTGTTGTTTCTGTCATTAAATGGTAACTACAATCTCTAAAGCATTTTTGTATATCTTCAGTAATTCCATTTTTAACTCTTTCAAGTCGGGTTTTTGTCTAGCTTGTATGTTGAGGTTCAACCTAGTAACTCATTTTACAATGAGAGATCTTGTTCGCTTTTCTTTCTTTATGTTAATTTGTGTCATCTTCTAAATATCTTTACATATACACTTCAGGATACTGGTGGGTTTGTAGATGAAAAATGCGAGAATAGATTATATGTTGGAAACCTCGATCTTAGAATAAACGAGTAAGAAAAATCGCTGTGAATCAAAGCTTGTTATTTACATCCACTCCATAGATCAATACATTGTTCAATATCCAATAAGTTTCTCTTTGTCACAGGGCTGCGTTGATAAAAATGTTTTCTCCATTTGGGAAGATCATATCAGAAGACTTCCTTTGGCACACACGAGGCCCAAAGAAAGGAGAACCACGCGGCTATGCTTTCATCCAATTTAGCCATAAAGAGGTAACTAATATTCTAGCTTTTTTGGTTTTAGATTTGCTTAGAATGAGATTGTTTCAAGTGATGAAAAATGTTTTGATTTTTGATTGAGCAATCTCCTGATTTCTACATCTAAAGTGAGTACACAGGAAGCTGAATTGGCGAAGGAGAAGATGCATGGGAGATTAGCTTGTGGTAGGCCTTTAGTGGTGCGTTTAGCTAGTGAGAAGCATCTTGAAGATATCTCTCAGGATCACTCCAAAAGATCATTACCAGAAGCAAACAGAACGAGGTTTGTAAACGGGAGCAGCTCAGGACAAATGAGCCGAGGCGAAAAAGTAGCTGCCATTAAGAACAAACTCAAAGCTTTGGACGAAGATGAGAAACGAGATCCCAAGAAACAGAAGAGATAAAAAATCGAGTTGAACACACAACTTTGGGTCTCTATGACTGTGACCATTGCCAAGAGATATGTTGAAAGAGAGAATGTCAACATTTGCATACACATTTTCGGTTTTGGTTTGATTTGATTTGGTTTACCGGTTTAATCGAAACGAATTTTGATTTAAGATTCGGTTCGGCTCAGTGCGATATACAGTATATGAAATTATTAATCGAAAGCAAAGTTGACGCACTAAGATGGGATCCCCACTATGATGAGTCAATTCCACTAATCACTCCCTTTTCTCGTCAACGCAAAAATGGCGACGAGCTTGCCGTTACTCAATGTGACCGGAATCTCGTTACCGTCGACGTCGAGACTATTTCGCCGGCGTCCACACATTGTTTCACGCAAAGATCTTCCTGAATTCTCAGCTAAAGCAGTCTCTTCGCGGCTTAGCTTCTCTCCTGTTTCGTTGTCGCAATTTCGTAACGGAAGCGACAGGTTTCTCTCGCCGGATTCGTTACCGGAAGTATCATCCCCGATCCGATCGGTTACTGTGAGTTCGTTGAGTACGCCTCTCATTTCTCCCAACGATGAATGGGGAACTTGGACTGCTCTCTTCGCCACTGGGGCTCTCGGTCTCTGGTACGATCATCACTCTTTATAGAACTTCGATCGTTAGTTTATCTGATTGGAAATTTGAATTTACGTCATGTTGATTCTTAGGTGAAGTTGATTTTGTGTGAATCTATAAAGAGAGGTTTCAAATTTTTGTTTCCATGGGAGTGAAGTTTGGAATCACAAATGGTGTGATTGATTGTATAGGTCGGAGAATACAAAGGTCGGAGCCGCGATGAGTGGTGCGTTAGTCAGCACTCTAGTTGGGCTTGCAGCTAGTAATCTAGGGATCATTTCTTCCCAAGCTCCTGCTTTTGCTGTAGTGTTGAATTTCCTGCTCCCTTTAGCTGTTCCTCTGTTGTTGTTTAGAGCTGATTTGCGTCGTGTGGTTCAGTCCACTGGAAAGCTTCTCTTGGCTTTTCTGATTGGATCAGGTAAAAGGTCCTTCTCTTGTTGGCAGCAAAAGGATCATAACATTCACATTGTTCCTATGGTTATGCTCTTGATTTTTTGATTCGACTTTGAATTATCAGAGAAGTCTGAGGTTTTGCTATTTCATGGTTTTTATAACAGTTGCCACAACGGTCGGTACAGCTCTGGCATACTATCTAGTGCCAATGAAATCACTTGGCCCTGATAGTTGGAAGATTGCAGCTGCTCTCATGGGAAGACATATCGGTGGAGGTAACAAATTATTCATGTGTCTTTGAATATCTGCTAGACACAATGATTTGTATCTTCTATTTTCTTGACATGCCAATCTTGTTCTCTTCGTTCTATAGTGGTGTATCAGTTGCATTTTGATTTTTTTGTCCAGCCGTCAACTACGTAGCTATTTCAAATGCTCTTGGAGTTACACCATCGGTTTTAGCTGCTGGACTGGCTGCTGATAATGTTATATGCGCTGTATATTTCACGACATTGTTTGCTTTGGGCTCCAAAATACCTGCAGAAGTTGTACCGCCACCGACTACTGGTAAGTCTGATTGCTGTGATGTCTGGTTTCGTGTGATTTGGCTTCCTTTGGAAAGAATTTATCATTGAGGTTATGTAAATCTTCAGTTGGGAAGTCACTTCTATTGGACTAGATATCCAGAGGAAAATGCTCTGTTCCATTCCTTTTTCATTTCGATTTTAGCCACTTTTTTCTCTATTGTTTATGACCTTCTGAATTCCATTTGATAGATTCAGTTTCTGAATTCTGACTTAGATGTTGCTCTCCTATTGCAGATGCAAATGCAGAGACGAACCAAGTTTCTGAAACTAAAAACAAAATTCCTGTGCTACTGATAGCTACTGGAATTGCTGTGTCATTAGCTATATGCAAGGCTGGGGCTTTGCTAACAAAGTACTTCGGGATTTCGGGTGGTAGCTTACCGGCCATAACCGCGGTTGTTGTTATTTTAGCAACTGTCTTTCCGTCCCAGTTTGGTCGTCTTGCTCCATCTGGAGAAGCCATGGCTCTGATTCTGATGCAGGTATGAGACAACTACAACAATTTCAAGAACGATGCAACCTTCTTGATACTAATCGATCTAGTTTTATTTCAGGTGTTCTTCACAGTGGTGGGTGCAAGCGGAAACATATGGAGTGTGATCAACACGGCGCCGAGCATATTCTTGTTTGCGTTGGTTCAAATTGGGACACATCTAGCTGTGATATTGGGTATAGGAAAGCTGCTAAACATCGAGCTAAGGTTGCTGCTTCTAGCATCAAATGCTAATGTCGGAGGACCCACGACTGCAGCTGGAATGGCGACAGCAAAGGGATGGAACTCGTTGATAGTTCCAGGGATTCTGGCGGGAATATTTGGGATCGCCATTGCAACTTTCCTAGGAATTTTATTTGGAGTTAAAGTTCTCAAGTTCATGTGAAGATGGTAATATAACTAAACTATGGATCTGACTCTCACTCTCTATATATATTTCTATCTCTGTTAACAAAGAGAACAGTCTCTTCTCCAGTATCGGTTATGTTGATTTTGGTTGCAAAACCTATAAAATTTAAACTGAGACCTTATTGTGTGGCTTCATTTAGGTCATTTATGTTTTCAAGTGATTTAATCAAAGCCACAAAATATCTAAAAGTTGCTACGTCCTATACTATTATTTGGGAAGTATATCTAAGTTGTAACATGGAGTTTTGTAAAAAATTACAATATATGCCATTACAAATCTCTAATCATAACCATATTTATTCCACGTCATTTATTTTAATCCGGGTCAATGGGTAATCAAACTGGGTTTTCAAATATTACCTAAACAATAAAAAATCATATTAATTCAATTAATTACAAGTTTCTCAAAGATTACCTAAACAATAAGATCATATAAATTCGATATTCAATTAAATCTTCTAACTATGGAACTAATTATGATCACAATATTTGCGAAGTTCGTACAAACAAAATATTTGGAATCAATGATCTTCTTTTATTACATACAAAAAAATTTACCCGTGCTAATTATATAACAATCCAAGTACAAATAACTTGAAATAGAGTTTGAGATGGAGAACTAAGTTTGCATAATTATAACATAACATATCATATCAGAATTATAACTTCTTCTAAGTTTGACCAACTTCATATAAGCTTGACCAACTTCTTCTTAACTCTGGATCAATCTGCAATAATAAACACAAATATTAACATGAGATCAAGACATAATTACAAGACATACTTGTAATTAGTTCTGGTCATCTTTGGAACTCTATGGAATGCGCTAAAAAATGTTACAAAAGACAAAGAAGCAAAAGAGATACATATTTCGACATAAGGACCAGAAGAAGGTAATGATGTTCTTGACTATTCACAAAAAGAGAACTTTTGTTGAGAAAGTATTCATAGTGAAAAAGATAATAAGGCTGAAGCGTGAGAGAAAACTTACTAAGCTCAACAATTGTGTCTATGCACTGATTTGTGTAAAGTTGTTTCTTAACAACAATCTTAAAATAATCAATGAAATCTTACCTTTTGGGTTCAAAAGAAGCTCAACCATAGCATGGCTCCTCTCTTCATTGTCTCTTTTCCATTTCTTAATCGCCCTCTCCTAATTAGCTATTTCTCTCCAAATCTCTGGGGGTTTGGGTTTCTTACCCTTCAAAATCTTCAGTTGTTCTTTCATCCTATCCAAAGGTTGCATTGGTGGCTCAACCTGAATCTCTGAAAATGTCTTCACTTCTTCTTCAAGGTCAGAAAATTTCATGTAGGTACCAAATTTCTTCACTTCTTCGTCAACCTTCATTTCAAGAGAGACTAGCACATTGTGGTTTTGGACCCAGCAGTAGAAATGGACTCATCAGATTCAAGGACAACCTCCGGAGCCTCTATCAGTTGCTCCTCAACCATGAAATGGTTAGCCACGGAGATAAAAGAGTGAAGTGTTGCTGCGTTGTTCTTGATACGCTCCTACGGTGGGAAATTCAAGTGAAGAAAAAGAGGTCACGGTTTGGGAACAAAGTAAAGTGTTACCAAGTGCGTAATGATAAGCTGCCGAGTAGAATTTGTTCAATTTTCAGGTTTTTAAGTTGAATGGATTGAATCCTTTTTTCAACTCTTTCATCTCAAATGGTAAAAAATTAGTTGAATTAACATTCAACTATTTCAACTTGATATTTTATGTCAACCATTTGCAGCACTAATGTATTCAACCCATTCAACTTAAAACAACCATTTGTAGCCAAAGTAAAAAAATAAAACTCATATTTGAAAAAAAAACTCATCTGAAAAAAAAACTTATATCGCTGTCATGATATAAAGAAACTCATATCTATACATGTCATTAATTGATTGGTCAAAAATTACTCAACTAGTAAAAAAGTAAATAATCAATTAATGACATGTGTAGATATGAGTTTCTTATGGTTTCTCAAAAGCGAAACGGTTCTCACATTTTTCTTCCCTTTTCAAATTCTTTTATTATTTTATTGGAGAGTATTAGATACTTCCAATGGAGATGGTCTAACATTCAATGAAATATATCTCCCTTAAAAATCAATATTGTAGTTTAATTTTCCTTAAAAAATCAATCTCCTTAATTATTATATTAATCTCACGAAAAACAATCGATAAGAAATCTAAAATTAATCAATGAAATCTTTACCTTTTGGCTTCAAAAGAAGTTCCATCACGGCATTGCTTCTTGCTTTTTGGTCTCTCTTCCATTTCTTAATCAATCTCTCCAAATTAGTTATTTCTCGCGTAATTAATTTCAAGGGTTTTAGGCTTCTTTCCCTTCAAAATTTTCAACTGTTCTTCCATCCGAGCGAGAGGATGCAATGGCTCAACAATTGGAATCTCTGCAAACTTCTTCACTTCTTCTTCAATGTCAGAAAACTTCACATGTGTACAAAAATTCTTCGCATGATATTCAAGAGAGTAGACAACAACTATGGGAAGAAGGATGCATCTTTTGAAACTTTACGAGATATGGTTTTATTTTATTTACTAGGTTGGTTTATTCTTTATCGATTGATTTAATGTATATTTTGGCTTATTAATCATTTAAGTAGCTAGACATTGACATTACTAATTCAGAAGTATTATAATATTTTATTTCTTGATTCTTTTAATGTAATTTTTAAAATATATGTTTAGTATCATTTATGTTCGTTAAAATTGTTTTAATACGAAAGAAAAACTTTTATGATAAAAGTTATAAAATGTATTACAAATACGATGTGTCATTTTTCTACATGTTTTAAATTATAAAGGAGTTTTCTATTAGTAAAGTAATTAATAAAATATTAAAAATTAAACTACCAAAATATGCATATGTTTGGGCATACTTGTGTTGTTCTTTATGTATTAGTAATTTTTTTTGTTATTAATCAAACAAAATGTTTTATACATTCCTGCTTTGTACACTAAAGACATTGGAGATCTCTGCATTTTCCTCTCCTCCAAAGGTGAACCTTTCTGTCTCCAGGCTAGTTTCATAGACAACAGGGAAAGCGGAATATACGATATTGGGTCTAAGCAAAACACTAATTTTTGTTTTCACTTACCATGTCCTTATTTCATTCCACCTCAATCCTACCTCAATGCTAATAGTAATAATGGTTTTGCATCTAAAATATGATTAGTAATAATTGTAATGATCCTGTTGTTGTTGTTTTTTTCTTACTTTGATATGGAAACCATCCTGTTGTTGCTCACACATGTGCTTCTGATATGTTGTGTTTTGTAATCCACAAGATAATATCCATATGCTTGGGGAATTTCTGCTTGTTATAGCTCTTTACAATTGAACCTTTCCTTTGTGTTTGAGAAAGAAACTTCCACGATAAAAGATTTTGGCTTTGGAATCTGATTGATGTTAGCCATTCTGAATCTTGTTATTTTCATCCTAACAAGTTAGTGAAACAGAGCATTCTCTGTGACTCTGTCATCGCTACATTTCATTGCTGACAAGTTACGAGCCAACTTTAAAAACACTTCATTGATCAACTATGTTGCCTTTACAAATAAAATTGAGATTCGCGAGAAGAAGAAGAAGACACTTGAGGTTTTCTCAGGCAAGGCTTTTTTATGTAGTCTCAAAGGAATCTTCTTTCTTTTCACCCAAAATGGATTTCTCTTCTCCATTGCTGCTGTGATGCTGTCAATCTCTACCACTTGGTTTTCCGATGAGTTTTCACCTTCTCCGACCATCTCTCCTCTACTCCGGTTCTCCTCGCACAAGTTTCTGGTCCATGAAAGCAGAGGGTCAGATTGGAAGTGTTTCCTGCAATTTGCAGAGAGATCTAAAGATTTCTCTAAATTTTGATATACCATTCGGTTAAGCTTTTGGACCATAAGAAAGGAATTAATATTCCAGGTCTTCTTTGCAGTGTTGGGAATACGTGGAAACATAAGGAGTGTGTAATAATAAGCACAGGTCCAAGCATACTTATGTTTGCTTTGTTACAAATAGTGATACATCTTGGGGTGTTACTAGGAATAGGGAAGGTGATGACGATAGAGCTACGGCTTTTGCTTCTTGCTTCAATCAAACACAAATATTGGTGGACCAACAACTGCTGCAGGAATGGCGACGGAAAACGGATGGAGCTCGTTGATATTTCCCGCGATTCTTGTAGGAATATTTGGGATCGCCATTGCAACTTTCATAGGGATGCATTTGGAGTTTAAGTCCTCAAGTTCATGTGATGTTCAAGTCCCATGAATGTTAAGAATTTGATAAGTTTGTACTTGTACTAACTCAAGCTTGGTGCTCTTTGCTCTCTCATTTTTTTTTGGCAAAATTAATTTCAAACTACAGAAATGGTAAGAAAAAAAAAAGATATTTGATTTCATTTTGTTGGTTTTCTACAAATATAGAAATCATTTCCAGAAAAGGAAACCAGCAACTATTAAAACCTAGAAAACCCTAAAACCCTCTTCTTCTTTTTTGGCGTCAAAGGATGTAGCAATATCTCTTACAATAACCTTAAAACCCTCTGTAGAAAGAAAATGAGAAATTGAAAAAAAAAAACCAAAAAAAAGAAGAAAACAAAAACACCAGAGCAGTCATAAAAAAAGCAACAGATGACGCCATGGCATTTTTCTTCCCTCTTCCTAAACCGATGTCTTAAAATTACGATAACAAACATAACAAACAAAACTAAACTAACATAAGAGATTCTATTGGAAAAAACCAATATGAGTCTCTTACGTTATCTGTTATCATGACTCTTTGTTGTTGTTGTTGTCGTTGTTGGCTACCACCACTGGTTGTTCTTCATTAAACTTGAACCGTCGAATATCATCACCTCCATCTTCTGTGGCCTCAGACCGCCGAGTCCTCCGCTGCTGAGCCATCTCAAACCTGTTTCCACCAGTGTTCTCTTCCGTGCCTTCAAATCTTCTGTTCCGAATAAATGGTCTCAAGTTGTTGTTGTCAGAATTCGGTCTTCTCATAGAATTTCCGACATCAAATCTCTGTCCAGGCCGGAACTTCCTTTCCCTGAAGTTATTATGATTCTCTCCAAATCTCTGTCCAGGCCAGAACTTCCTTTCCCTGAAGCTATTATGATTCTCTCCAGTATCATTATTCCTCCCTTCAAAGAACCTCGGCGACGACATTCTGTTTCTCGGAGGTGACATGTAACCCATCTCCTGATCTGCAGGAAACCGTTTCTGGAAAGGCAACCTCACTCTTTCCGTCGTCCTCTCGTCTGCTCTTAACCCACCTGGAGGAGGAGGAGATGATCTGTTACGGCTATTCCACGAGACTGGAGAACGGCTTCTGGATCTTGACTCTGATTGCGGGTAGTGCAATCTCCTCAGGACCGGAGAGCCACCTCTCTCTCTCCTATTACCACTCATCCGGTTGTGCATCCGACCAGGAAATTGGTTGGTATCACTGTGTGGGCCCCTGAATTTACGATCCCCACCATCTGGGAATCTCTTAAACCGACCTCTGTATCCACCATTTGAGAATTGCCTATGTACATAACCATCTGGTTCTTGTCCTGGTCCTGGTCCTGCCCCTGAATCATCAAAGCCGTTGTTCATCATACCTCGATCATCTGCCATTCTTTTAGGCCATGGACGCCCGGAACCATAGGAACCTTCTTTGTAATTAGGTGGGGAGAAGCGTCGTTTGGAATCCCAACCATTAAAATACCCTCTTCGAGGACTCCTATTACGCATACGCATCCCTGACCTGTCGTCTCTCCCAACAAACCTATCTGGACCCGTGCTCACCTCTTCAGGCCTGAAACAAAAGAACCATGACTCAGTTAATAACAAATTATTAATAAGCGTTTACCCAAATTATAAGGCTCAGGGAAAGCAAAACTTGCCTTCTCCTCTGGATGGCATCATGTGAAGGCACCTCCTTGTATGGTTTTGAACCAAAACTCCTTGAAGGAGAAGAAGAGCCCTTCTTAGGATGTGAATCGCTCATGTTTACAACAACTTGCTTCTCTATGTCACTTCCTTCATTAGCCTGCCCAATTCTCAGTGCATCACCAGATTCACACTTAACATGTCTGAAATTCTTGTCTGCCAAGATTCCCTTCTCAGAATCCATAGAGTAGAATATCTCATTCTCTGGCTCAGACCCGTAATCCAACTGTTGAACCTCTCCAATTTCTTCCCAAGGGTATGGTTCCCTCAACTCTCCATCCTCAAACTGGGAGTCATAACCAGATTGGCCCTCCTTGTCATTTGTGGCAGCTGCTTCAGTATTAGGCCCAGATGGTGATGAAAATTTTGTATGTTCATCTGATGCAATTACCCCATCCATACTGTCCTTACTTCCATCAAAACGTTCGCTCTCTTTAGGGGCAATAGACTCTGTGATTTCTCCCTCTATATCTCTTCCAGAGGCTTCATCTTCTACATCACAAGGAAAATTTAAATCCCAGTGAAATTTAATATCTTTAAGGCCTTCACTGTTCTTTTCAGTTGGCTCATCGGCTGATGATTTCTCTGACACCGTTACAGCTCCACTATCAGGTGCTAAAGTTTCACTTTCACTTGCTTCTACATTAGCCTTCGATCCTTCTGTTGAGGAGTCATTTGAAAGAGCAATGCTAGTTAATTTAGGTGCTATCATCCCTCCAGAGGTCACTCTGCTGTGCTCTACACTCTGCTCATCAGCCAACTCTTTGCACAAATTTGTTAGAGGATATTTCTGAGGCGCTACAATATTGCTCTTGCCTTGCCCAGTCTGATCACCGGAATCAACCGCAGTATGCGAGACATCAGCAGTTCCAGCTGATGAATCGTTGCCTTCAACATGAGTTGATATGGTTGATGTATCTTGTTGCTGAACAACAGATTCTTCAGCAGGCAGACGGTCTACAGCTAGTGCAAAATCATTACTCACGTCAGTACTGCAAGCAGCATCAGCAAGTATCTTGATACCAGAAAAGTCATGACCACTGTAATCAGGCTTTTCATCACGGACGTCTGAGATTAAATTAGGGTTTAATCTCGAAACGGGCAAAGCAAGGTTGATCTGCACCTTATGTTCTGAGTCTTCACGTTGAGCAGATGGCCTCTTTGATGGTGACGGAGAGCGAACAATAAATCTCCGTTTCTTTATCGGAACATGCTCTACTCTTTCAGCGAAATGCTGACCTAGAACAGAAACGCCAAGCTGCAATAAAGATCAAAATTAAAATCAAGAGGCCAGAAATTTCCTTACAAAATCAGGAAAGAAGTAACCAAAATTAAAAAGAGGAACCTTTTCAGGCATTGGTTTTCCTGCCACAGTGCCTGTTGAACTCTTGGCTTCTGTCTCAATACCTGAGGCTGGAACACGTACAACTGGTTTCTTGCTACGCCTTGTTGAACTTCTGCTACCTTTAGCCACCTTTTTCCAAGGAAGCTCTGCAACGTTATTACTTGTCATGCTTCAATACACTCCCATCCACTCCCACAAAACTTGATTTTTTATTTTATGAGCCTTTACCTCACCTGCAAGCAATGACCTTTCATTAGTAAACCATAGAAAAAAAAAATACAAAACATAAGCAAGAACAATTGCCTACTTCTAGTATAGCATAGAGTCAGTGCAGGCAAAAAAACTTCATAGCTAGACAGTCAAGTTAAAGACTCTATGAGCCTTTACCTTAAGACAGATTGCGCTATAAGTCTGAAAAAAACCTCCACAAGCGTTTTTTTTTGGGCAATAAAAGCATACAAAACAAGCATTTATTCATGTTTTTAGTCCGATAAAATCCGACTCCAGATCACAGTAGGCAAGCCCTTGGCCATATCGAAGATTCTGGAAAAACTTGAATGGCCGTGTGATGCCAAAGATCCATTAAACTTTATTGTCATCCCCCCCAAAAAACTTGAACCACATCGAAATCAGAGTATCATCGTGTCCTAATTCTATCATATAAGGTCGTATATAGACGAGCCAAATCAGAAGGGCAAAGGCTAGACTCATGTCCACTAAGTTCCTGAGTAAAAAGAAATCGTTCTCATGATTTAGAGATTCGTTCTTCCAAGAAATTGCAGGAACCTAAGGGATCTTCCATGGCGAAAAGAAGATTCGAAGCGTATCGCAGCCGATATTGACGTCCATAACCAAACAGATCTCTCCTTCATTGAACCAAAAACAAAGAGCAGTAGTAATCAAAGAACTTAGGGTTTTCATATACCTGAGTCCACCTACTTTATATTCTCTTCCTCCTCCTCACTCAATATACAGAATCACACCACGACCGAGATCCGATCAACTCCTCCGCCGTAATTTCACTATCCACCGCTCGAATCAAATCCGGTTTCTATCAAACGGCTCTTCTCGGATTTCAAATCCAGCGTCTTAAAGTCTTAGGCGATTAAAAGCCACAAGAACGAGAGATCGATGATCTAGGTCTCCTCGCCGGAGAAATCTCAGACTAAGAAAATCAATAAAGAAATCGTCGGTGAAGCTAGGTCTCCTCTTCCGTCGTCGTCTTCTTCACAGAGAAACGATTATTTTTTTATTAAGCTTTTTGGGGATGAACAACAAACATAAGAGCTTGGTGGTGCCCTATCACCACGTATTTATCATCCTCTCTATACCTAAACTACCCTTGACTGTATCTTAATATTTACGGTTTTGTCCTCTTTGACGCTATTTTTTACGATTTTGCCATTTTTGCAAGATGAGGAAATTAAATATTTATTTAATAAAATTAAATAGGACCTCTCTATCTATCTTTGAAAAGTCAATGGTCAAGAAGAGCAGAGAGACATGGCTTCGTGTGAAAGTGAAAACTTTTGGTGGCGGACGTGGTGGTGTTCTTTGTGTTGTAGCCCCTATACTTTCTGTTTTTTCTATTTTTTAACCCCTAAGTTTTTAATTACAAACATGAAATTCTTTGATGATCTTGATGGAGATTAAAAAAAAACAACTTCATTAAAATTTTAATGATTTGTTTGATTAAAAAAAGGAGAAGATTTGGATTGTATTAATAACTATTGTTGGTTTGATATATAGAAATTAATAACGGTATTGTTATATTATGATCTCAGTCAGAACTGTCAGATGGAACAATTTATTAATTAATAGATTGAAATTCCGCACGTGTGTAAAAATCTATATAGTAAATAGTTATTGCCAAATATTTGTTATAATATTAAAAAAAAACTGTCAAAATATTTATGGAAATTACACTTGAAATAAAAACAAAGTATTTTACTGGCTCCCGGTCTTTGTAAATAAATTTTTACCAATTATAAAGTTTCTAAAAATTGAAATTATATTTAATAGATAAAAAAAATTATTTAATATTTTATTATTTAGATTGAATCTGATCTAGGATCACAATATTTTTATCAACAGGAATCCTATATATTATGGATCCGGATCTCTATATCCATGCATATCAAAACATTTTGGTGGATATCCGAATTCGGATCAGGATTAAAGTACATATTTTAATATATTTGGATTTGTTTGACGTTCCTATATAACGATATATTATTTAATAATTAGTACTGTTAAAAGATCACAATTTGTATCTCTTTTCCATCGAAATTTTTCATACATATAAAAGATTGATTATTTTGACAACAACACAACAAATATTTCTAGTAAAAATATAACATGTAGTTATAAGAAAATATTGGATGGAATATATATTTTAAATGAAATAAAAATTTGTTTACCTTAATATATGCGGTCTTTTGTGATATTTTCTCTTTATCAAAAGTTCCCGTATCTAAAATATTTAGAAGAAAAGAGTATCAGAAAAATAATCATCTATGTAATACTTTCATATTGAATTATAAATTGTTGACATGACTATCATCTCAAGATAAAAATCATGTGGAGACTAAAGAAATAAAGAAGAGATTTCTTACCAACTCATAAGCAGGTATGTATGGCCACCCCTAGCTTATATATATCTCAACATTACCAATTTTTTATTAGTCAAAAGAATCTAAGATTACCAATTTTTAAGAATTAAATTGCTCTAATGACTATAAGGTTTATCGACTGATTTCAAAGCTTTCATAGTATTTAATAATTAACAAATTGAGATAACATATACAATTGTAGGTTGATAAGTTATTCATGTTCAAACCTTAAAATTGTTAATTAGAATTTGAATGGACTATGTTTTAATGACAGGTTGCAATAAACTTACTGGTAAAAAAATAAACAACATTTTCTTACCAAATATGATTTTAAAACACAGTTCAAATGTATACCTAAATATTAATAGAGTAAGCATACTTAATAGTCAAATAAGAATGTTACCGTGATTTAGATAAGTACAAATGTTCTAAACATCAATAATCAAGCAATCAAATACGAATGTTATCCTAATTTTTGATAAAGTCAGTAAAATCAATATAAATGAAAGTCAACTTTAGTTAAAATGTTACAATATTTTGGCAACATACTAGGTTTTATTTTCGTCATTTTTCGCATAAACTTTCAAAAATACAAAATAAAGTAATGAAAGTCAACATGTTTTTGTTTTTCAATTATGAAATAATAACAAGTCTTAAAATTTAAATAGATTCTAGATTTTAAGGATAGACTGCAATAAGAATGTTACCGTGATTTTGATAGATACAAGGATTATTAAAATTAATTATCAAATACCAAATACAAATGTTACCGTGATTTTGATTGATACAAAGATTATATAAAAAAAAAATTATCATATACCAATTACAAATGTTACCGTGATTTTGATAGATACAAAGATTATAAAAATTAATTATCAACTACCAATTACTAATGTTACCGTGAGTTTGATAGATACAAATATTACAAAAATTAATTATCAAATACCAAAATACAAATGTTACCGTGATTTTGATTGATCCACATATTATTAATTGTCTTATACCAAATACAAATGTTAACGTGATTTTGATAAATACAAAGATTATAAAAATTAATTATCAACTACCAATCACTAATGTTACCGAGATTTTGATAGATACAAACATTATAGAAATTAATTATCAAATACTAATACAAATGTTACTGTGACTTTTGTAGATACACGGATTATAAAATTAATTATCATATATCAAATTTTGACCCAAAATTTTTTTTTTTGCATATATCAAATATAAATATTACGACGATTTTGATAGACATGGAGATTATAAAAACTAATTATCAAATACCAAACAAAAATGTCACTGTGATTCTTATAAAAATAAATAAATAAAATTCAACTATATATTTGAATGTTACAATATTTTTGACAACATACAAGTTTTTGTTGCCATACTTTCTAGAATATTTGTATATTTGTAATTATTTTCTAGAATATTTGTATATATCAAAATCACAGTAACATTCATATTTGACTATTAAATATTGTAATTTTATTATTAAAATATAGAGTCCACTTAAATTCCAAGACTTGTATTATACCAAATACGAATATTATCGTGATTTTGATAAATCAATAAACTCAAATAAATGAAGTCAACTGTATAATTAAAATGTTACAATTTTTTGACAACCTACATGGTTTTTTTGCTTTTGTCACATTTTTTACATAAATTTTCAAAAATACAATAATATTAAATGAATTCCAGCAAGTTTTGTAATTTGTTCTGCAATTTTGAAATAATACATGTGTTGGAATTTAAATGAATTCTTTATTGTATTGATATAATGCAATAAACTTAATGATGATAAATATAAACAAAATGCATCAGATTTAATACTAGTCAAATACGAATGTTACCGTGATTTTGATCAATACAAAAATACTGAAAACTAATCAATTACCATATCCAAATCTTAATGCATGCCCAATCTCGAGGAATACTTTCTACATAATAAGAAAACACTCATAAACTTTGATCTAAAGGTCTGCCTAAACGATCGACCTTGGAATCGAACTCTCATCTATCTGCATTACATAATGTTGATAAAACCAACGAAATCAAAATAATGAAAGCAACCTATATAATTAAGAAACTATATTAGATTAAATATCTTAGATTATTTAGTAAATATCGTAATTCAATTTTTAGAGGGATGGCAGAACGAAAATATTTCTTACAGTAAAAATAACATAACAGAATTACAAACAACATTAAAAAGGTTCAAAATGATGCATCCTAAAAACGCTTATGGTGCAGATGGTATGACATTGTTATATTATCAAAGTTCTTGAAAGGATGATATTAAAAAGGATTTAGTGAAGATGGTGAATAAGTTTTATCCACTAAATGAAAGGATGAACGGTTAAATCTAAAAATCATATATCTTATCTTATCCTAAAGACGAAGAGATCGAAAGAAATGAAAAATTCAAGCCAATAAACATATGCAATGTGAGTTACAAAATCATATTCATTTTTTGCCGATTTGATGTTACTTCTCTCAACATTTTTATTTCAGAGACTCGATCAATCCTTGTCGCATGGCAATATTTTGATCACTCGTGAAATATTTCATAACGTCCAAACAAATAATTCATGCAAGGATAAGTTTATGAAAATTAAGATAAATATGAGTAAAGCATAGGATAGAGTTGAATAGATAAACTACCGACTAAAAAAGTGGGCATGAAGTTTTGATAAAATTATCTAAAACTACATTTACGTCATAACTAACGAAGTCGATAGCAAAATGGTCAATCCTTTTTACAGAATATGAGATTTTTGATTCTTTTTCACATTAAAACTATCAAAGACGCAGACAATAACAATAAATGAAAAGTCAACAAATTATATTGCAATTGCGAAACAAAACAAAATCTGAGTTGGAATTGGGAAAGACTCTAGAGAACTTCCTCTATACGGATTATGTGATTCCTCGGCTTTTCATCAAAAGAATCTCCGACCAAAGTAGCATCTAATTCTGTACTACCAGAGAGGGTCCATAGATCTGACCAAAGGACTACAATCACTCCACTCCAATAACCACGGAAACAGAATCTATTGTCACTTTTGAACCTTTTTAATAAAGAGAATTTGATATGATTGGGAAATGTGTGAAAGTGAAAGGACCTTCTTTAGTATGACTTGGCAAAGATTGCAACTTCTTCTGCTGGATTTCCAGTCATTAGGCATGTTTTGGTCCCTTGAGTCTGTTCAAACGGGAAACAACGAATGGTTGCTCCGGTTTCTTCTTTTACCCTTTGTTCATCTGCGTCACTGGCTGACCAAGGACCTCTTGCCCATTTCCCTGAAGAAATGGCGTCTTTGAGCTCATCGTATGAGTTTACATCCACAATGTTACTGCACAATCATATCGAAATGTCAGTATGTGCTAATTAATACCGCAAATTTATTGAGTATGTTTGCGGGAGAAAGATAAACAAAATGAGTACCTATCTCTGAATGAT